CAGTTCTCAAAGGCTGACGCTCTCTTGTCGCGGTACAACACCCAGCTCGTCCCGCACATGCCGGCTGTCATCTTTCCCCCAGACCTTACTGCGACAGAGCTTCGCGAGACGAGGCCTACGCTCTTTCTCGCCGTTGCAACGGCCGCGTCGACGGATACACCGGAGCTGCAGCGGTTGCTCTCGCGCGAACTCACCAGAGTGTTCGCCGAGAAGATTATGATCCGCGCAGAGAAGAGCCTCGAGCTCGTCCAAGCTCTGCAGATTACAGTCACCTGGTACTGGTTGCCTGATGAATACGACCAAGTGCATATCTACTATTTGGCGACAACCTCCATCTCAATGGCCATCGACATTGGATTGGGCGGTTGTACACCCTCGAAGCCGACAGTCCCATACGGGGCATATGCATTCAGCCGCGCAACACAACTCAGCGCAATAGACCCGACGGCGCTCGATGCCCGCAGAACCTGGCTGGTGTGTTATTTCATGGCATCCAGCATGGCCTATGCCATGAAGCGGCCGCTTCTCTTGCGTTGGACAAGAGCAATGACCGAGAGCCTTGAGGTACTTCGTACATCGCCCGAAAGGCACGACACGGATGAATATCTTTGTGCGGTCGTGTGGGCGAGCCGTCTTGCCGAAGATATTGACCAGTACTGCGGCTTGCCGGATGACCCTGATGAGACCTTCAGGGCACCGCAGACCCTGTATTACCTCAGGAAACTCGAACAAGATCTGTGCACCTTCAGGGACTCGCTGCCAAAGGGCATGGACCAAGGTAGGTCCCCCCCCCCCGGCTTTATGCCCCTCTTACAGACAGAGTTGTATATCATCTGACGGGCCTTTAGGAAGTCTCCGAATGGTCTTCAGCGCCATTCCGCTTACTGTTTACAACAATGTGCTCCGGCTTCAGCCCCCTGAGGAAAGGCAACACAAGGCAAACGTCGCCGCCATACCATCAAGAGCGCACCGTAGTGTCGTCATGGCTGATTCCGCCTTCATGACCATGGCCAACACAGACGCCATTTCAAGTTGCATGTCGCACGTCGACATTGTTTTGGGCGCATTTCTGTCCCTGAGCCCCGAGGCCGTTCGAAACCTCCCGACCTTTGGCATCATGCGCGCTGTCAGAGCAGCGAGCATGCTCGTCAGATTACATCTCACTCTCGTTGATGATCCGCAGCTCCTGAGCCCGTTCAGGAGGGAAGACCTCCGAGCCGGGCCCTGCATCGACGAGCTGCAGCGCCATTTCCGCGCCGCCGCGGAAGGGAACCGATGCAGGACCGCCGCCAAGTTCATTGTCGTGCTCGCCATGCTGAAGGACTGCATGGGGAGCAATCGCGGCGGCCATGGACCCGCGGCGCGGTCAGACCAAGGACAAGAGCAGCAGTCGCTCGAGACGCCGCTGCACCTTCTTTCGCACGCCGCTGCCGCCGCAACGGCGACGGGATCAGCGCAACAAGGGCCCGGGATCGGCGGCCACGCTGAACGGCTCACGTTTCCTGATCCGAGCGGCCAGCCCTCTTCGGTTGCGCCCTCTGTCTGGCAAGATTTCTCCAGCGGCGCGCAGGCCCTGTCCCTACCTGGTCCGCTGGCTTTCGATACAGATCAGTTTATAGCGCTCTACGATCAGGACCTCGCCTTCTCGCTCGGTCTGGACTACATGTACAGCGGCAACGGCATGCCCCTCTACGCCGGAGAGGCGAGTACCGGGTTTGATGGGACCCCGGCACAGACTCATGATATGAACAGCTAGACAGCCACGCGGCTGTCTCCAGACATGACACAGGGGTAACAACTATATATGCTAAAGAGGGGCTCATAGAAAGTCATCATTGTGCAGCGAAGACATGGATTTCTGATTAGGTGAAGTCTTGTTTAGGTCAAGTCTCGTTTACGGCTGAACATATGATTCGGCGACTTTCAGGACGGCGGGTTGTATACCAACACACTTTCTGAAGGCCATCGTTGGCTCTGGTTGTCACGACCTCGTTAACGCCAGCCGTTGGGCCAGGCTGATGCCCGTTATGGTAGTTCATCGACATGTCAATTGGCAGCTTCACGGAGAGTGGGAAAAAATAGAGCAGGGCACGAATTGAGAGGCTTAGGGATTATGGGCTTCGTCGGTGATCATAGACCTTATGCGCAGTGAAAAGTAGGAGATGTCGTTTTCAAGTCATCAAGGCGAGGAGGCACGTCCTAAGCATACGGTTGATGCAGCGGAGGTCGAACACAGCCTGATATGATGATCCTAAGAGATACTCATGACGCGTGGGGTCATGTCGGCATTGGAGGATTCCTGTTGATCCGACGTGGCCTTCTATTCTTGGATACATGGGACTGGCTGTTTTCTGTACTATCACAGACAATGTGAGTGCTTGCCCTGATGGGAGCCAACATGGTCTTCAACCAGTTCTATTGAATACGAAAACATGGTATTTCTGATCACTTGTATAGCATTTCTCGAAGTCAAGGATGGACCCCGAGTACGGCTCAAGAGATCTTTGGCCTTGTCTTCGTCATGTCACTTCAAAATGAAGACGTTTACCTTTGCCAACAGAGCAAACAGAGTGAGCCGAGGTTGACTGCCAGAACCATTGCCTGGACGCGGTCAAGACCTTGCGAACTTTCGAGTTCGAGACAGGCATCATGTCGAGCTCATGCTCGACGTCTCGTGCCCCTGTCTAGTGAGTCCAACGTAGCCTACAAGCATTCCAAAATCCGTTTGTCGTTCAACACCAAGAGTCAAGGCTGCACCTCATGATGTTGTCCAACATGTTACACAAAACAAGACAGGCTGATAGCACCAGGCAGCTTATCATTACAAAATGAGCTCCTTTTCCAAAAGACTCGCGTCACACAACATGACTTGTGCCCTGGTCCATCGACTGGAACATAAAGCTCAGCAACCGAATTATACGTGCCATACGCAGACCCTACAGTCCTGCGAATATCTACAATTGATGCATGAGCTTCTTTTTGCACACATCATTTCAGCCAACCGGCCCCTTCCGCGCCGTCATTCCTCAACCTTATCCCCAAACCCTCACAGCGCAGCAGCAACACCAAGAACGCCAACCAAGGCCCCAACAGCATAAACATTAGCCCCAGCACGACCAGCCACGCTATCCCCATCCTCGCCGCCCGTCTCCGTCTCCGTCTCCGTCTCCGTCCCCGTCGCGCTCGTCTGCGTCAGCGTCTCCGTCTCCGTCTCCGTCACGGTCCCGCTCGTCAGCTGAGTCGCCAGCGCCGGAAAAACAGTATACCCAACCCCCTCCGTCGCCGTCGTGCCATCCCCCGTAAAGACGTGCCTCGCCTCCGTCGAGCAAATGGCGCTACCAGCAGGCCCGTCAATGAGATCCTCGCAGCCGGCCACGAGGGCATCGAGCTCGCCGCGGCGGTCGGAGACGAAGGCGGCGACGGAGGACTCGTAGCGCAGGACGGCGGAGGAGAGGCTCGCGGGCCAGGTCAGGGCGCAGGGGTCCTGGTCGGGGCTGGCCGTGAGGGCGAAGGAGGCGGGGGCGGCGGGGAGGGTGGGGAGAGCGGCGAGGAGGGACAGGGCGGAGGCGGCGCAGGCGGCGGAGCCGTCGGGTGCTTCGGCGGAGGATGTTGTTGTTGTTGGGAGGGACTGGGTGGCTGTGCTGGTCTCTTCCTGGGAGAGGGCGGTCGACGCGAGGGCGGCGAGGAGGAGGGACGTGGTTGGCTTCATGGTGGTGGATGGATGTGGTTGCAAGACTTTGGGGTGAAACCAGCTGTTGGAGATGGAAGATCTGAGATGAGAAGGAATGAGGACAGCACACAGCGACATGGCTCGACAACCGACAACTCGGTTGATATACCCCCTTCTCCCCTCTCCAAGCCCCGGCACACCTCAGCCTAGCCATAGCCAGGCTGACGACGGCAGAGAAACGGGAGAGAACCCACGCCGCCCAGGGCCGAGGCCGCAGCACAGCAATCGCGTCAAGCAGGCAACAACACATCGTCCGCACCCGTCATCCCCCAGGCGGACCCGTCCCAAGAGCGAAGGATGGCGGCTGTGGGCTCAGCCAGCCGGGATCGTCACGCATGCGACGTCGACGGTTGGACACGAGCCGTCGCGCCGTTCCCTTCTTCCCCACACATAATATGCCCAAATGTTCCGAGTTGGAGACGGCCAAGGCCTTCCTCTGGCATCGCCGAGACCTTGGTGTCGGGAGTATGACGTCGCGGCGAGCCGGCCGTCTTGGCTGGCTCATTTCCCTACATGCGCGGCGCGCACGCCTTAGCGCGTCAGTGCAATGACAATTCTTGAGTGTAGGCGGTCGATAGCTTTATTGATTCAGCCACGTCTCTGTCCTCTTTCTTGCCAACATACATGTTCTTGGAGATGATCGATTGGTTCTCAAGGGGGGCTTGTGAGACCAGCACGTGTTCACCCAGAACGACGTTGCGCCCTTCAGTACTCTAGACATGTCATTGATGCCAGTGGTCGAAACCCGCAGAGGCGCACAAATCGCGGCATTGGCGGCCTTCTCCTCCGTCGAACCATGAAGTCTGAACTCGTCGCCGTAACATGCTTCGACCTCGACTGACCACAGCAAGGCACATAAGCCTGACCAACGTCACACGGGAGACCGTGGAGGGAGGCTCGGTTTGCAGCCAGCGTCAGAAAGTTGCGCAATGGGCAGACATCTTGGACAGCTGTCAAGCCACCGCCCAAGGATCCCTCACACATCACGTCACATCACTCTTCAACCAACAGATCCAAGCAGGAAAAAGGCACCTTGCATTCACTCCACCGCCTACCATGCATCCAAACGCCTCCCTAGGCCGGGAAACAAGAAAGTCTCGAGAAGGGTAGAAACACGAAAGAATCGAAACCAAAAAGGCATGAGTGTGAAGAACCCAACCACACCCTTCAGCAAGAGGAAAAAAAAACGAGGCCACGATATTCCATCTCGTTCCTCGGGAACCGGAAAAAAAACTCCTCTTTCCGGAAAGAAGAAAAGATGGGCTCGCGCAGGTACCACACCCTGCGACCGGCATCATGTCCAGAAAACATGAGGGGAAAGGACAGAGCGCAACTCTGCTCTGCATCCGCTACAGCACCCAAAAGGGTGACACCGGAAGCCAAGGTAAAAGAGCGAAAACCAGTAACCAGAAACAGATCCATTGGAGGCCAGGGCATAAGAGCGTATCCATGCATGGGGCTTGGGGTTCATATCAGCGCCCATGGCGGGTGTGTTGGTGTGTGTTAGTGTGCGTGTATGGGTATGCGTGATGCAAGAAAACCAAAGTGACGTGCCAAAAACGTCCAAGAAGCAGCAGGCCCTTGTGCCTGTCCGTACGCCGGTCATCAAAACAAAGGGAATCATTCCGAAGGCATACGACGGGCCCGTCAGACGGTGCCGCGCATACGCTGCTTGCGCGCAAGCCAGTCGCCCAGCATATTGTCGAGTTGCTTCATGATTGTCAGCTGCGATCCTAAAGTGAAGGCATGATATGAATAGCTTCAACAACTCACCGTCGTAATCTCCGCCAGCTTGGCATTCTGTTCCCGGAACAAGGGTCCGACGACGGGGTGCTCCGGCCCCGCCGGAACGACATCGCTCTTGTCGTATACAACGACGAGCATATCCCGGATGTCCGAGCTCGAGTCGAAGAAGGCCCGCAGCTTGGCATCGTTCCACGAGTTGCTGGTCTGGCTACCGCCTGCCGAGCTCGAGCTGGTGGTCATGGAGTCCTGGGCCGCGTGGCGCCGCGTGGACTCGTCGGCTTCGATGAGCTCGGGTGACGGCGAGTCGGACGAGTGGCCGCTGGACGTGTCGACCATGAGCGCAGGCGGGTTGCTGGCGCCCATGGGCGAAACCTCGACGGGTGATTCGGAGAGGCGGTCGCTGGGCTTTGCGGCTGTCGACACGTCTCCCGGCGTGATCGTCTTGTCCGACTGGGCGCTCGACGTTGTCTGTGTGCTGAGGTAGCTGTCGGGGAACGCTCCCGGCAGGGTTGGTCGCAGTTGCTTGTCCTCCGTCTTGGCCTCTTGCGCTTGTTGCTGCTGTACCTGATGCTGCTGCGACGGCTCGACGGGTGACGAGACGACCTCCTCATCGGGTGAATCAAAGTCATCAAGCTCCACGCGGGCTTTCGCCTTGGTAACCTTCTGCGGCTTCTCAACCTTGGTGCCCTTGTCGTTGCTTCCTGACCCTGACCGGGACAGCTTGATCTTCGCAAGGCCCGACCTCTCCTCCTTCTGCTGCGATGCCGAGCGTGCGAGTTCGGGCGAGCGGTCCCGGCTGGAGCTGGACATGGTGGTAGCGAGCGACGTCTCGGCGGCATCCTGCTCCTGAACGATGCGCATCGACGCAGACGCCGGTGGCACATTGGATACGTCATTTGTCCTGCCCTCCGACGCAATGTACTCGGCAAGTTCGCGGGTCGAGCTTTTCTGGGGCGCCGATCCGGGTTTGCGCGTCGGCGAGGGCTCGCCGCGGGGCTGTGGCTTCTGCAGCTTGCTCGGATGCCTCTGAGGACCGCCCCTCTGCGGCGAGTCTTGGACGCTTTCGTCGTCGTGGTCCTCGTTGACCGTGTCCATCGACCGCTTGCCGAGCGAGTCGTCATCGTCGTCGTTGCTCGCCTTCTTCTTGTCCTTCCGCGAGAAGAAGCTGCGAATGGCGCTGGGCTTCTTCTCCTTCTTCTTCTTGTCGTCCTTCTTGTCCGGTTGCAGCTCCCTCTCCAGCTTCTCCATCTTGTCAAGACTAGCCCGCTGCTTGAGCTCCTTGGAATCGTTGGAGGATCTCGGCGCCGTGTCGTCGCGCAGCAGGTTGGGCGTCAGAGTAATCTTCTTCGTCTCGACTGTCTCGTCCTTAAAGAAAGAGTCGGTGTTGCGGACCGTGCCGTTCCTCGACCTGCTGGGACCCTCGGGCTTGGGCTCGAAGAACTGTTCGCTGCTGCGCCGCGTCTCGTCCTCGTCGACCACCTCCTTGATGACTGGTTCGGCAAGTTTGACCTCCTTCGGTGCCCTGGGCTTGAGAGGCTCGACCTTCGCCGTCTCGTCAATGGAATCGTCAGAAGCAGCCTTCTGCGCCTGCTCTGTTGCCGCGGCCTTTTGTTCTTGTCGAGCGCCATCCTGCTGCGTGTTGAGGAGCTCCTCGGCCTCCTCGTCATCGGATGAGAAATCGGCAAAGTCAGAGTAGTCGACGTAGGTCGGCTCGGCAAAGACGACCGTCTTCTTCTTCTTGCCACGGAGCGCGCTGCGGAAGGTGCTCTTAGACTCCTTGCCCGCTTGGTCGCCCAGCATCGTGGCTGACAGCTTTGGGGAGACGTTAGCCGCGTTCTGGTCATGGAGGGGATCGGCCGACATACGTCAATGTTCCGGTGCTTGTTCAAGCGCGCTAACCTTTCGGTGGGCGTCTCAATGTGCTCGGCCGGTAGGTATCCTGCGGGGGTCAGTCAGTTTGGTGGTTCCCCATGCTCGTGGTGAACGGCGCGCATACCGATGCTGTTATCCTTAGCTACGCGTACCAGCCACCAGTAGCTGTTGCTGTCGTCGAGTAGCACCATGGTATCGCCCTTGGTGGCATTGGCTTGACCTTCCACTGTAGCGACAAAAGTGTGAAGCGCATAGACAAAGTCAAAATCAATATCCTCTGTATCGTGTAAGCTTTCAGGGTTCCAGCCAGAATCAATGTAACGTGGGTCTGAGGGAAAAGGGAAGTCGTCGTCATCATCATCTTCGGTCGCTTCGTAGGGGATCATGGCAGGCGTGTCGTCTGACGTTTCGTACGTAGCTCCTAGGGGAGCGAAAACATTCTTGTTCTCTTTGCATGCAGCAAATCGAACTGATTTGGTCGCCTTCCTAATATCCAGCGGTCGAACAAGCAACGGAGGGCTGTGGGCGCCCATGGCATCGACGGCAAGCATGTCGCCATGCGCCTCGGGATGATCCGCGTCGCCGGGCTCGTCAAAGAAGATTTCATGCTCAAAGTCGTACGCATGGTCGTCGTATTCGTCGTGAATATATGCCCCCAGCTCGGCGCAGTCGTGTTTGGCGTCGGTCGGCTTCAGGTCCGGCGACTTCTAGTCGCCATACTTACCGCGAAGATGACGATGATGGTACGGGACGGGTGCAGTGGGAAAGGGCTCGGTAGGAGGGGGCTCGGTAGGAGGGGGGCCGGTAGGAGGGCCGGTAGGAGGGCCGGTAGGGGAGGGGCCGCCAGATTTCTTGCTCTGGTTCCGGGACACTTGTATGGGCATGTAGGTCGGGATCTCGAGGTACGGCGAGGAAGACCTCGGTTCGTTCTCGAGGGGAGCGGGGGAGCAGGGGACACCGGGCTCCTCTTGGTCCGGCGGCAGGGAATCCACGCGCCGGGGCCAGAGAGGCGGCAGAGAGGTACACCTACCATCTTCGATCGAGGGGGAGCTCGAAATCTTGTCCATCATGTCGTCGTCCATGCTCTCGTCCGTGTCGCCGTCGGCATCGCTCTCGTCGGTGGAAAGACCGCCATTTTGCGCGACGGCCAGGCTGTCCTGGGAGGAGGACGGGTGCTGTTGCGCCTGCATGGTCTTGGCGGCGCTCGTGTCGGCGAGCTTGTTGTTGACGCTGGCGACCAGGTCGTCGGCGTCGTAGCTCTGCTGATCGGGGTTGCCGTTGGTCCAGGAGATTCTGGGACTGCGGCTGTTCTCGGCGGCGGTTTCTTGGGCGACTTCGCGCAACGTTTCGGCCTGGTGGGCGCCGAGGGAGGTGGAGGAGGAGGATTCGCTGGCTTCGGTGCGCGTATGGTCTTTGGCGGAGGGCGCATCGGCGTCTTGGAGGTCGATCGAGTCTGTCGTGCGTGCGTCAGCGAGGAGGGGGGGGGGAGAAGAGAGAACAACCAGAGATGGTGATCGCCAAAGGTTGCGAGAATGGACGTGACTAAGATTGGCGGCGGGCTTCTCAGACACGGGAAACAGGGGGGGGGAAGAGCAAAAAGAGGAATGGGGGTGGCAGCGCACAGCAGGCATGGGATGGATGGATGGACGGATGGATGGATGCAACGCGGCGCAGACAGAGAGGCGCACACAGGCACCGGCACAGGCGAGACGCATAAAAAGTATCAAGGCGCAACGGCGACAGAACGTACCAGCTCGAATAATCTCGGGTCTCGTCATGGTGGGCTAGCTCGCGATGGAACAGCGAGGTTCGCAGGTTGCGTTGGCGAGTGTGTGGGTTTCCGCCGATTGTGAATAGTATCGTCGAATTCAAAGTGACCCCGGAAGCCAGCCGCGTTGGGTCGAGAGGGTCGTCATGAAGCGGCCAGAGCCAGAGAGCCGGAGAAAGAAGCAGATGCGAGTATCCCGAATGTTCTGTGGCAATTCGAGTCGGGCAAGTCAAGACGAGGCGAGGCGAGGCGAGGTGAAGCGAGGCAGCGGCGGCGGCGGCGCTTCTGTACGGTAGCAACAAATTCCCGTGGAACAAAGGCTGGGCCGGGGAAGGGCGGGTGGTGCGCCAAGGTGTCGCTCGAGGTGGATGTGGACGAGGCTGGTCCGGTTTGTTTCGTGAAGCTGGGGAGATTGCGTTGGTCGGATCGTCAGTGTTGTCGCATGGGGGGGGCGTTTAGGACGTTTAGGAGGAGGCGATGGGACGGGCAAGGAAGGATCGTGTCGTGGCTGGTGCGGTGCCAATTGGGGTAGGGTTTGTCGACGATGGTATGAGTCGGGCGTGTCGTCGATTTGTCGGTGGTTGTGGTCTTTGTGAATGATCCAGCCCAGGCCCTTGGCTGTAAGGTGGTGTTCTCAACTTCTCTCGGTCTGGGTCTCTGGGGGGGCGGTTGACGGGAGAGGGGGCTGGTCGTCGGTTTGGGTTTGGGCTTGGGTTTAGGTATGGGTATGGGTCTTGGGCTGGGTTGGTACGTTAAGGGGGGGTTGTCGTGGTGCTGAGTCGAGGCAGGAGGTGGAGGCAGCCAGAGAAAAAAGGAGTGACCAGGATGAGAGTCGTTGGTCTGTGCCTGTGCCTGTGCCTGTGCCTGAGCTTGTGCCTATGCTTGTGCCTGAGCCAAGGAATGGGGACAATGAAGGAATGACAGCCAGCCTCTTTCTCTTTCTGGGAGGACGAGTATCGAGTATCGGAGAAATGAGCGTCGATCAGCGCACTTGTTCTTCTTTTGTTCTGTCCGAACTTGGATCGCCGAGATGGGAATGTCAGATGGACGATGGAGAATCGTGGCCAAGAACAGGGTTCTGGTGACGATGTGGGTGATGGTGGTGAAGGACCCGAGCATTGAGTTCGCCCTACGTCTGGCCTATGCCTAGGTACCGGATAGTAGGTACCGGATAGTACCTAGATACCGGATAGTAAGGTACCTTGGTACACTAAGATATAGGTACGTGGCAATTCCGATTGAGCCTTGCTTTCCTGCGGCAGCGACCTCCAGCTGGTAGGGAGGCACTTAGGTAAGTTAAGCGCTGTAAGCATCCAGGTCGGTATATTCTAGCGGCTGGCAAGGGACCTCCAAGCAAGGGCAGGCAGGGTCGGGCCATGTTGAAACATGAGGCAGAGCAGCGCAGGGGCTGGGACGCTAGGCACCTGAGCCTGCAGTACCTAGGTCCCTAGCAAGTCTACCTAGGTACCAGGCACTTACTGTCTTGACCATACAGAGAATAGGTACCTGGCAACTGGGCAGATGTGTCGCGCTGGCAGCAGGAGACAGACAACCGTCAGTCGCCAGATCTGCACAGCTGCCGCCCGGTGTACAAGTACAACCAGGCCGCCGTATGAAAGTACCTCACAGCACTCCCAGCCCACGATGCGCTTAAGGCTTTAGATTCAACCAGACATGATCGCGATCGCCCCCTTTCACCGCATAAATCCTGAGGAAGGCTGTTTTCTCTGCCATTATAGGCTATTCGCTCTGCCCGACTAGGGTAAATGCACGCTAGATAGGGGATAAGCCAGAAATATAGCTCTACTACCTAAATTAGCTAGGGCAACTATATACCTCTGCTCGTCTCTTATACCTTTGAGTCACTAGTGAAGCAGGCGAGTCGCTGAACGGGTAGTAATAGCCCTTAGCGGCCTAAGGTAGTTAGTACTAATCTTTTTATATTATAAATCAGGATATTAGAAAGACTATAGTAAATACTAAACTAGCCTTAATTAGAGGACTACTATAACTACTAAATTAGCCTTAACTAGAGGCTATTTAGAATACTCTTTACTACTTACTATAATCTCTAGCTATAGTTATAGAGAGGTATTATATATTTATAATAAAGGAGACGATAGGACCCTTAGTAAAGGGCTCGGTAATAGGTTCGGTAACGATTAGTGAATCTATCAGTAAAGGAGGTATTAGAGAGGCTTTATTTAATAATAAAATAAAGCGTTAGCGATATCTAGAGGGCTTAGAATAAGTATATTTAATAGTATTATAATATTTAAGGGTACTAGTAAATATAGAGCTTAAAGGGGCTATTTAGGTTACTTTATTAGCTAGTTATAGCTAGTCTCTAGCTTAGAATTTATCGAGAGACTCCTCGAGAGACTCGTATATATAGGAGATAAGTAGAGGTATATAGTTACCCTAGCTAACTTAGGTAGTAGAGCTATGCTTGGAACTTGACCCTTATCTAGCGTATATTTACCCTGGTCGGGCAGAGCGAATAGCCTATAAGGGCAGAGAAAATAGCCGTCCTCATAAATCCTTGGCATCCTTCTCCACAGCACATGCCAGAGAGCCTGACGACCCAGCTGCTGACCAGCATCCAGCGACACACCAGAGCACAGCAATTCGGTGACCAACCCATCTACATGTCTCTGTCGACGGCTTTTGAAGGTGCGCCCTCACCGCTCCGACAATCTTTATTGTCAACAAAAAAAAAAGAAAATAAATCAGGATGCTTTTTGCTTCTTCTTCATCGGCTCTCTCCACTGAAACCGAGACCCCTGAAGCAGAGACGCCCGAACCGCAAAGATGCGAGCAGCGAGGAGAGACCGAGAAAAAACCCTTGCCTCGACTACGTCTTGACACAATGTGAAGATCCCCGTGCCGTGTTTTGTCTATCGTACCCCATTCTATGCTGCCGTCTCGTCTCGTCATGCCGACAACCCGGGACAGCGCCACTCATGTATTCATCCTCCAAGCCTGCCTGCATCGCGGGTGCTCGTCTATCGTCATCGTGCTGTCTACCCTTTCTAAGCGTTAGTGACTCGCCGCCCATGCCCTGAACCAGTCGAGAGCCTCGGGGTTGGCAACGCTGGCGTTTGTCTGGACGGCCATGCCCGAGAGGATCTGTTTGACGGCCACCTCGATTCTGTGCTTGTCAGCATTTGTCTCTGCGGAATCAGAGAAAGAAGAAAAAAAAAGAAAAAGGGAGAGGAGAGTGATAAAGCAAGGGGCAGCGCAGCAGGCACTCACTTCTTCCCGTTGCCCGTCTTGGGAACCCCGCCACCGCACTCCTCCACGACGCCCGGCACATGGCGCGGGCTCAGCTCCGTCCGCACCGTCCTCTGGATGCGGGCCCTGACGTCCTCGTCAAACACCTTGCCCGCCTCCATGACGACGAAGAGACACACCGTCTCGTCCGTGTCCGTCTCGCGCCGGCGGCCGACGCAGACGGCATCGGCGACCTCGCCGGCGAAGAAGCGCGTGAGGACGTTGTAAATCTCGGCGCTGCCGAATCGCACGCCCGCCGGTTTGAGCACGCCGTCCGACCGCCCCAGCATGACGAGGCTGCCGGTCGACGGGTCGGGTACGCGGACGAAATCGCCGTGGTGCCACACGGGGCCCGCAGCGCCGCAGACGTCGGCGAAGCGCTCGAAATACGCGGCGCGGTACTTGGCGTCGCCGCCGGGGCCGAAAAAGGTCAGCGGCTGCGAGGGGAACGGCCGCACGCAGGCGAGGTCGCCCGGGTTGGCGGCCGGCAGGGGGTCGCCGGTGAGGGAGTCGAGGGCGCGGATGGCCATGCCGAGACCGGCGCACTGGATCTCGCCCGTACGCACGGGCAGGAGCGGGGACGGGGCGCCAAAGAGGGAGATGATGTCTGTGCCGCCCGTGATGGAGGCGAGGTTGACGTGGGGCGGGAAGGCTTCGTAGACAAAGTTGAAGGTGCTCGGCGGCAGCGGGCTCGCCGTCGAGTAGATGGCCTCGAGGTGCGAGAGGTCGAGAGACGGTTCGTCGTGGACGGGGCGCACCTGGTTGGCCTCGAGCGCTGTGAGGTAGGCGGCTGACGTGCCAAAGTGCGTGACCTTGAGCTCGGAGAGGAGCCGCGGCAGCGAGAGGTAGCCGTGGGGCTTGAAGGGGGACCCCGAGTACAGGACGAGGCTGGCGCCGACGGCGAGGGCCGAGATGGACCAGTGCCACATCATCCACGACGTCGTCGTGTAGTAGAGCATGCGCGACGCCGATGTCATGGAGCAATGCAGGTGGTGCTCCTTCTTGTGCTGGATCAGCGTGCCGAGGGCCGTGTGCACAATGGCCTTGGGCAGGCCGGTCGTGCCGCTGGAGTAGAGGATGTAGAGCGGGTGCGCCGGGGGCAGCTGCTCAAAGGTGAGGGCCTCGTCGTCGGACGATGACTGGAGGAAGCGCTCGTACTCGACGACCGTCTTGACGTCCTTGGCCCTGAGATCATCCAAGGCCAGATGGCAGCGCACATTGTCAATGACGACGACGAGCTCGAGGCCTTTGTCCTTGAGGGTACCGACGATTTCGGTCGTCTTGCTCGTGCTGCTCCACTCCTTGCCGTTGTAGACTGTGCCGTTGTCGGCAAAGAGGACCTTGGGCGTGATCTGCGCGAGACGGTCGAGCACGGCACTTACACCGTTGTCGGGGCTGATGCCCGTCCAGATGGCACCGACAGAGGCGGCACCGAGCGAGGCCACGAGCGCTTGAACGTGGTTTGAGACGTAGCCGGCGACAACGTCGTCCTTGGTCACGCCATGGGCACGCAGGGCGTTGCTGCAGCGGCGGACAGCATCACGAAGCTCGGCCCACGTCGTCGACACGGGGTTGCCGAGCTCGGTCGTCGTGATAATGGCCACGGCATCAGGCGAGACGTCAACGTTCGCCGGGAAGAGGAGGTTCTCTGCAAAGTTGAGGCGCGCGCCAGCAAAGAAGTCTGGGCGCGGGTACATGGGAGCAACTTTGGGAAGGACCTGCAGGCGTGTCAGTCAGGGGGGTACTGTGTGAGGCGCACAAGCTTTCCTGGGCACAAGGTAGTGGGAGGAGGCCAGAGAGACAACACAACCCACCTCATCGAACGACTTGGAAGCCTTGACACCAGAAAAGTGCCAGACCTCCTCCCAAAAGGCAGCCACATTGTCAATGGACCACTGGTAGACGGCAGGATAGTCGTTGAGTTGCAGGTCGTACTTTTCGTTGACGCGGCGGGTGAAGGCCCAGAGGGGTGTTGAGGTGGGGTCTGGATGTCTCCAGAGTTCACGCGTCAGTGCCGAGGAGGCCTCGGCTGAAGAATGGCCGTTGACGGCCATGATGGTGACGAGGAAGCGTGCAGTGTTTGCAGATGATGCACTCGAGCTTGGCGGCCAGTGGCTCTTTCGAAGACGTCGTGATGGCAAATTTCTCGGCCTCGAAGAATGGCCCTGCTTGAAGTTCACTGCATCCCCAAAACCCGAAAAGGGGGGGTGAGCAAGAGCGGGAGAGGCAGGTAGGTCCCTTGGGTTTCCGTTCAGTTGGGCCGTCGCATTCCGCATTCCGAGCCGAGGGGCCAGGGCCAGAGCCAAGGCCAGGGCCAGAGCCAAGGCCAGAACCAGAAGAGTGGTGATTGATTGTTGGTGATTGTTGGGAGCGAGGTTTCCCCGCCCCCACCACCGACCCGAAGTCCGGGCGATGTGTGGCTGATATGTGGCTCGTGGGTGCAGTGGCTTGCGTGCTCATCTGAGGTTGTATCGGCCTGGCAGGTCATGTCGGCCTGGCAGGTCATGTCGGCCTGGCAGGTCCTGATGACACTGGCAGGTCATGTCAGCAAATATGCCGCAAGAAAGGCATTGGAGGCCACCCGGGTTGAGGCACTTGCAGGCACTACTAAGCGTAATGAAGGGGGTGTCCCAGCCCGCATCCATTCCTGATCCTGCTGCCCTCACTCAGCCTCCCCTCCATGCCTCGTGCCTCATACCTCAAACCTAGGTATGTACCTTATGCCCCCATGCCTGCCATGCCTGCCATGCCTGCCATGCTCCTGTTGTGCCAGACACGAATGCCTCGAGTGGTGCCCTGCATGGGTCTCTCGCCCCAAAAGGGACGAACAGATGAACAAGAACCTTGATTTGGGAGCAGCAGCAGCAGTAGCAGCATCAGCAATGACCCCGTGATGCTCTCTCGCTACGGCTCGATCGCATACCATGTATACCGTACAGTAGTGCTGCAGGGCTGCAGGGCTTCGCGCGCGCAAACGGCAGATTGATGATGCGTTGGCACACACGCCGGTCCCTTTTTCACTTTTTTCACAGTAGCAGCCAGGACAATGATGACATGATGCCGAGAGTTCGCTCACCATCTGACTGCATGGGGAAGTATGTGGGCTAAATAGTAAGCGGACAACGGGAGCTTCCATGGTACATGGTACAGCGCCGGACATCCCGGGCTACCTACCTATCTATTCGCACCTACCTTTTACCTTGGGTAGGTACTGTACTTGTGCTGTAGCTAGACTGGTGCTGTAGAAATGCCTGTCACCTCTTCGTTCGCGAAGACCCGGCACCAGAGGTAGGTACTGTAGAGAGCGTATCGTCGGCGCCGAGGTGCCCGTTTTGCCGGCCAACTTGTCGCTCCATGTGGTCATTAGGTTGCGTTCGATATTGCAGCTCCTACTGCGCGCGGCTTTATCAGGATCGTCGACTCGGTTCGGAGTCGGAGTGCTCAGACCATGGTCCCATCCCGCGACTGCCGTTCACCCCAGCCCAAGACCAACATCGCTCATCGCCTCTGTGCATCGCGACCGCCAAGCCGTATCACGCGTGACGGGGTTTGGGCCAGGCTGCAGAGACCGAGATTGGGGCGTGGGACACGCGCGTTGAGTGGTCGGGCCGCCGCTGACGGTTCGGATTGCTCGGGATGGGAATGCACTGGATATGCGGCCCCTGTGCATGGGGGATGGCCATGGGACTCTCTCAAGTCTCTTTCAAGGCCCTGTCTTCTCCCCAAGGCCTGTTCTCCAGGGCCTGTTCTCCAGGGCCCCCGAGAGACAATCAGAAACTCGCCGGGGTACTTCAGCAGCCTTCCCCCCCCGTCCCCGTCCCCGTCCCCGTCCCCGTCTCCCGAGCATCCAAGGGAAAGAAGAAGGCCTGTGCTCGTGAGAGGCCCCTGTCAATTTGACCCATTCCGTAATCACTCATCATCCATCGAGCTTGCCGCAATTCCTCGGTCTGCCTCCTCTCTCTCTCTCTCTCTCTCTCTCTCCCTCTCTCCGTCGTCTCCTCCGGCTTCACTGCTCACCATTTCTTCCGACCTCAGTCTCTCCTTTTTTTTTTTCCAGAAATAAATTTCGAGCGCGTCAATCCTCTCCTCGAAATCGGTGACGTCGGATCTCCCCAACGACGACTTTTCTCCCCCCTCATCCGCCGAAGTACCAACTACAACGCAACGCACGTACTTGCAGGACTGCACTGCACGTTGCCCAGCTGTCTGCAGGTGGCGAATCCAATCAATCACGGTTCGCATCGAAAAGTCGAAATTTTTGGCAGCTACTTTCCGCCGGCTCTGCGCCCAGTGGCTCCCTCTCGAACCCGAACCCCACCTGCCAATCTGCCCCTGGCTTTTGGCTTTTGGCTTTCGGCTGTGACGCCCCAACTGCGTGCCTTCCTACCCACTCCCCCCAACCAAACAGCCCACGGCAAGCACCAGCCTTCTGCACCTGCAACCTGCACCTCCCACCCTCCCGCGGCACAGAGAGAGGCTCAGGCACAGGATCCGGCACAGCCTTCCCACACACACGCACACAAGTCGATCACGACAACGACGAGGCGACGCGCAATCCTGCTAGCTATTCGCTTGCCTGGCTGCTCGACCCGACAGTATCGTGTCGTCTCTGCCTCTCGACTCGACTTTCTGTTCGCCGCGCCCTACAATCGATTCTAGCTTTCATTAGCCAAAGACGATACACTGCATTGCTCAGAGGTCAGTCCTGCCCCCTTTTTTTCTCCCCTCTCACCGGGCGGTGAGATCTCGGGAGACGACCTCCCCCTTTGAGATCCAATTCAATCGACTACTACCTGGCATTGGGACCCGAATCTCCTGCTGGCTCGTCAGTGCGTCCCTCATCGAGCTGTCGGCCGTTTTTCTTCTTGTTCCTCAATGCCCCCTGCATCTCCTACCTTCGTGGCCACGCCGCCACGCGTCTATCGCTCGTCAAGCACCACAACACTGCAATGATCAGCCTGCTAACAAGCCGCAGTTCACCTTGATAGACGTTCGTTCCCGCGAGCTCATCTACCGAGCGTAATTCCTACCTTGCCAGCCGAAACGAACAACCCACAGCATGCCCCGAGGAATCAAGCTCCCCTTCACGTCCTCCTCCTCCCCCGCCATGCCTCATACCCAATCCGACAAGGAGAGGCGCCCTTCAAGATCCGGCAACAGGATAGCCAACTTTTTCTCGTCCCCCAAGAACAAGGAACAGTCTGCCCAACAGGCTCTCCTCGCCATGCAGCAGGGCAACATGACCCCCTCGGCCATGGCTCTGCCGACCATCTCCCTGTCGACCGCCTCTGCCGGTGAGCCCGACAGCAATCTTGACTCGACCACCCTCTTCTCGCCGCCCTCCGCCGCCGAGTCCGAGAAGAAGCGCAGGGCCGACTCGCAGTTCGCGCCCCTGTCCGACCCCAGCCATCTCTACGTGAGCATGCACCACGGCGAGCCCCTCGAGGCGCCCATTGTCGACGACCCCGCCTACTACTTCCTCATCACCACCTACATCAGCTACCTCTTCCTCATCCTCCTCGGCCATATCCGCGACTTCTTCGGCAAGCGCTTTGGCAACAAGAAGCACTATCAGTCCCTGAAGCCCCACAACGGCTACGCCTCCCTGAACGACGACTTTGACAACTTTTACACCCGTCGTCTGAAGCTGCGTCTCGATGACTGCTTCGCCCGCATCACCACCGGCGTTCCCGGCCGCTTCATCTCTCTCCTCGACCGCACCTCGCCCGACTTCAACCGTACCTACCACTACACCGGCACCACCACCGAGACGCTCAACATGAGCTCGTACAACTACCTCGGTTTCGCCCAGTCCGACGGTCCCTGTGCCGACGCCGTCGAGGAGACGGTCAAGCGCTACGGTGTCAGCTTCTGCAGCACGCGTGCTGACGCCGGTACCTCTGACCTGTCCCTCGAGGTCGAACGCGAGATTGCTGCCTTTGTCGGCAAGCCTGATGCCATGGTCTTCTCCATGGGCTTCGTCACCAACGCCAGCTCTTTCCCCGCTCTCGTCTCCAAGGGATGCCTCATTCTGTCCGATGAGCTCAACCACGCGTCTATCCGTGTCGGTGCCCGTCTGTCCGGCGCTGTCATCGCCGCCTTCAAGCACAACGACATGCACGATCTCGAGAAGAAGCTCCGTGAGGCCATCTCGCAGGGTCAGCCCCGTACCCACCGCCCCTGGAAGAAGATTCTCGTCGTCGTCGAGGGCCTCTACTCCATGGAGGGCACCATGTGCGATCTTCCCGGTATCCTCGAGCTCAAGGACAAGTACAAGTTCTACCTCTTCATCGACGAGGCCCACAGTGTTGGTGCCCTCGGACCTCGCGGCCGCGGTGTGTGCGACTACTTTGGCGTCGACCCTGCCCGCGTCGACATTCTCATGGGAACCCTGACCAAGTCCTTCGGTGCCAACGGTGGCTACGTTGCCGCGAACAAGAACATCATTGACAAGCTGAGGAGTACCAACGCCGCGACGATGCTCGGTGAAGCCCCGACACCCTCTGTCCTCATGCAAATTCTTTCTTCCCTGAGGATGATCACTGGTGAGCTCTGCCTCGGCCAGGGTGACGAGCGTCTCCAGCGTATCGCCTTCAACTCCCGCTATCTCCGCCTCGGTTTGAAGCGTCTCGGCTTCATCGTGTACGGCCACGACGACTCGCCCATCATCCCCATCGCCCTGTACCACCCCGGCAAGATGTCGGCCTTCAGCCACGAGATGCTCAAGCGCAAGATCGCCGTCGTCGTCGTCGGCTACCCCGCCACGCCCCTCATCAGCTCCCGCGCCCGTTTCTGCGTTTCATCCGCCCACAACAAGGACGACATGGACCGCCTGCTGCAAGCCTGCGACGAGGTCGGTGACATTCTGCAGCTCAAGTTCGCCACGGGCATCGCCGGCGGCGCCGAGCCCCTGCCCGAGGGCGTGACCCCCGAGGGCGAGAAGGAGTGGCGCCGCGCCAACGGCATCGAGGCCGTCGTCAAGCCGCCGCGCTGGAACATGAAGGACATTCTCGCGCACGGCGTGCAAGACTCCAAGATGCGCTTGCGCTAGGCTCGCCAGCCCAGACGCAGGCGTCACCTCGTGCGCGAGCGCGAGCGCGAGTGTGTGCGTGTGCGTGTACGTGTACGTGTACAATCTGACGACGACGATGGCGGGAGGGGGTGGCGGGTTTTGCACGCGATTGCCTGGGCGGTGCTACGGCGTTAAAAGACCATGTTGTTGATGTTGTTTGAAAAACAAACCCCCCGTTTGCAAGACACAGATGAGAAGGAAACAACGAAAGAAGAGACGGTGGGGAGACGCACGCATTTTGAAACTCGGAGTCATGGGAACCAAATGTAGTCGGGGAAGGGCGGGACTTGCTCCGGCTTAACTGGGAGGTACTTGGGTTTGGGAAGAATCTCTTTCCTCCCCCTTCCCTCATGGAGTATCACTGTCGTTTTGATATTGTCCTTTTTTGTTTTCAGTCTTCTTTCTTCCCCCTCCTCCCTTGCTCACCGGCTTTGACGGCTGGGTGTTCGGTTCAACTGCCTGGTAGGCATGTGGGGCCACACGAGCTGGCTTATATAGAATAGCATGAATGTACATACTGAATGCGCCTCATGGACCCCATTATAGTGCTCAGGTGACGGCTTCACAACGCGGTCAGGCCGTGTACTCCGTCTTTCCCTCCAAGTACAGAAATCATTGCATAGACATTCAAATTTGGTATGTACTCCGATCCAGCCAATCCAACAGATATACCTAGGCTCCGACCCAAATCATCAGGCATCAAAAATATACATGTTCCCCTTCTCCCTTTTTCTACAGCTTTGTAAAGGGCGTGCCGACCTCGCCGCTCATGTCCACGAGCGTGCTCTTGTTGCGCACCCAGGCCTCGAGACCCTTCTTTCCGTTCTCGACGCCGAGACCGCTCTGCTTCCAGCCGCCGACGGACATTTCGGCGGGCGACTCGCCCCACGTGTTGATCCAGGTGATGCCGGCCTCGAGCCGCGCGACAACGTCGTGGCAGAGGTTGATGTCCTTGCCGACAACTCCAGCGGCCAGGCCGAGCTCGGTCGTGTTGGCGCGGGTGACGGCCTCGTCGACGGTCGAGTAGTACAGGATGGTCATGACGGGTCCGAAAATCTCCTCGCGCGTTATGAGCATGTCGTCGGTGCAGTCGGTGAAGACGGTGGGGCGGACCCAGTAGCCGTTCTTGAGGCCCGCGGGAAGCTCGTTGCTGGGAATGGGGTCGGGGCCACCGGCAAGCAGTGTGGCCTTGTCGTCGTTGATACCAGCGCGGATGTAAGACAGGACCTTCTCCCGGTGAGGGTCGCTGCTGAGGGGACCAAAGTTCGTGGCAGGGTCGAAAAGGTCGCCGGCGCGAACATGGGGCATCTTCTCCTTCAGCGAGGCCTCAAATGCGGGCTTCATGGTCTTGGGCACGAAGACACGGGTGCCGTTGGTGCAAACCTGGCCAGAGGAGAAAAAGTTGGCGAGCATGGCGACGTCGGCAGCCTTGGCCGGATCGGCGTCGGGAAGCACGACGAGAGGCGACTTGCCGCCGAGCTCCATTGTGGCGTACTTCATGCTGCCGGCCGCGGCACCGGCGACCTTCTTGCCTGTGGAGACCTGGCCGGTGAAGCTGACCTTTGCAATGGCGGGGTGGGCCGTCAGGGCAGCACCGACCTCGCCAGCACCGTAGACAACGTTGAAGACACCGGGCGGCACGCCCGCCTCGGCGAAGAGAGCGGCCAGAGGCTCGGCGTGCAGAGGCGTAAACTCGGACGGCTTGTAGACGAGACAGTTGCCAGCAGCGAGAGCAGGGGCCGACTTCCACAAAGCGATCTGGATGGGGTAGTTCCAAGCACCAATGGCAGCGCACACGCCGAGGGGCTCCTTGGCCGTGTACACGAGAGCCGAGGGCCTCAAACGGAAGGCCTCGCCTGCAAGACCACCGGCAGCAGCGAGGTTGGCATAGAACTCGAGGACGTCGGCGCCTGTGACGACGTCGACAGCCTGCGTCTCGGAGAAGGGCTTGCCCGTGTCCAGCGTCTCGGTGCGGGCGAGTTCATCGTTTCTTGTGCGAAGCAGTGAGACGGCACGTTGCAAGATGCGCGAGCGCTCAAGAGGTGGCGTCGCCGCCCATGAGGGGAAAGCGGCTTGTGCGGAACGAATAGCGGCGTCGATGGAGGCCTTGGAGGAGGTGTGGACGTTGCAGACGGGACGGGCGGTGGAGGGGTCGATGGAGGGAATGGAGGCGGGGGAATCACTGGCGGGCTGGGGGCGACCGTT